AGCAAGCTTATACAACACACACAAGCAGCGTCGTTATGCAGCAAGCTTATACAACACACACAAGCAGCGTCGTTATGCAGCAAGCTTATACAACGCACACAAGCAGCGTCGTTATGCAGCAAGCTTATACAACACACACGAGTAGCGTCGTTATGCGCGGGAAGGGCATCAGACTTTAGCTTGCAACCACAAGTTGCACTGTACAGTTTGTTCTTTTGCCTTGACAAATGATGTCCACTTAACTAGCATCCGCAACTGGAAATAGTTGCTGCAAGTGCCTTACTCACCTTCCATATCTAAAAGCTGCTTCCCAATCAATGATAGTTTTTATAAATATTCCATGTTTCTCAAGCCCAGCATCAACTCCAACTCCCGTTCCTATAATACTCAAGCCCAAATCTTCAGAACCTAGACAACAGTAAGTAAAACCACTGAGTTTAATAATCCAAAGTTCTTTAGTGCAGCATCAACTCCAGCACCCATTCCTATGATAATAAAACCTTCAGGTCAATAGTAAGTAAAACCACTGAGTATAATATTCCAAAGTTCTTTAGTGCAGCATCAACTCCAGCACCCTATGATACTAAAACCTTCAGGTCAACAGTATGTAAAACCACTAAGTATAATATTCCAAGGTTCTCTAGGAAGGTTTGTTTGAATTTATGCACAAAGCTACAAAATGGGCTATCTGTGCTCTGCCCACCACGGGTATCGAAACCCGGTTTCTGGCGTTATAAGTCCACAGACATTCCGCTGTGCCACTGGGGGGGGGGCTCTAGGATAGAAATTTAACAAATATAGATATTTAATTATTTTTCAAAATGAAAGAGTTTTTCTTTTTCTTTTAACTTCACATTGTGCAGCAAGAAAAATGAAAAGGTGGTGCACTAGTGTGGTACAATTCTCGTTTCCTAGAACACAATGCAGCCGGATATAAAGGAATTAACCCATTTGAGAAAACAACCAACGAAGAAGATGGTGATGAATCTTTTTGGAGTTACTCCTGTGAAATCTCACATTTCCGAAAATTTAGAGGAAGTTGTGCTAAATATCTTGGAAGTATTAAAGCTGGACATTGCAAAGATAATGATAATGCTTCAAGTATGGCTGGGAAATATTTGGAACTTCAAGCAAGAATTAAAAAGGAAGCAGCATCAGCCTTATTTATACCTTGTGTTTGTCATTCGTTAAATCTAGTCGGCAACTGTGCAGCAAAATCATGTTCTGAAGCGATATTATTTTTTTAATTTTGTACAAAACTTGTTTGTATTTTTCTCTGCTTCTACACAAAGATGGAACATTCTTACGAATTGTCTAGGGAAGAATACAACATGAAAAAAGTATACAAAACCAGATGGTCTTCAAAATCAGACGCTGTATATTCTCTTGAAAACAATTTTTGCAATATCAATGAAGCGCTTTTGAAAATAAATAAATATCCTGCATTAAAAGGAATAGAAACTACGTCTTTAATTAAAAAGTTGGACGATTATGAAACAAAACTAATGATTTCATGTTGGTCACAAGATATTACAACAAGTAAATATATCATTACAATACCTAAAGTTGAATATTTTAAAGATAGAAACATTATTAAAATAATTGAAAGAATTCATTCTTGAATTAAGAAATGATTTTGAATCAATTGAAAATGAAGCAAGTAATTTATCCACCACTGGTTACAAAATATTTTACCAAGAAACAAGCAGGCGAAAAAAACTGAAAGTATTCTTTGATGAAAATACTAATCAATGAATTATTGTTAACAGGAAGAGATCACTTCATTTCTCATGTTTTCTTGGTAATTTGTGATCGACTAGTTACCGAAGTTGACAAAAGAATTGAAAGTTACAATGATGTTATTAAACATTTTAAAATATTCTTTGATTTCACAATGTATAACAAAGGAAAACATGAGTGTTTGAAATTATTCATTTAATTTATATCTGAGTGATATAGACACTGGGTAATTTTAAGAAGAAACAGCACATTCTTCTTTTAATTTTGCAAAGAAGAAAATGTTTGTTGCCCGAGTGACTTGTATAATTTATTATCGAATGGATTGCATTCGACATACCCAAACGTAAAAACTGTGCTGCGAATTTTTTAAACTCTCCCTATTGTTAATGCTATGGGTGAAAGGTCATTTTCTTTGTTTAAATAAGTGAAGAACTGAACACAATATCCAAGGATCGTTTACCTTCTCTTTCACTTCTGAACATAGAAAATGAAGAATTAGAATATAAGAATTACGAATAAATTATTGACCAGTCTGCAGTTGAAAAAGTCAGGAAAGTTTTGATATGACGTAGGTATTTATTGTTCATTTGTTTGAGTTTATATTATTTTGAAGTAGTAACTAGTGTTGCATTACATATATGTGAATTATCTAAATGATTATGCCAAGGGTATTGCTAAAGATAGGGTCCCAAACTTGAGGTTGCGCCTAGGGCCCCAGAATAGCTAGATCGGTGACTGGACAGACTGTGTGTCCTGTTTTGAATTCCGACAAACTTTTAAGGTAATTTCTTCCATGTAAAACATTATAATATTTTACAATGCATATAATATTTTATGGTT